GCCACAAGTCTCACTTCCCCTTTCTTCCCAACCCTTATACCTTCCTGACCATCTCAGCAAAATGGAAGTGAAGAAGGTCTTCTGCAGAATGGTAACAACTGATTCTTTTAAACAAAAGGCCCAATGCCATGCAGATAATTCTAAGGTCTTCTGTAATCAAACTTATATAGCCCAAACTTGACTTGTATTTTTGCAGTTAAATGTCAGGGAACACACTAAGCCTCTGAATAAGCAGTTAAAGTGTTTGCATTCTGCCTTGACTGCTCCCCATTTCTCACACAGAGGCATTGTGTTTGTTTCCTGTCCCTCAGCCCATCCTGCTGTCCACAAAAACTGTTTTTCCTTTCTTTTTTCCCTTCGTTGCCATCCCCCTGAAAATCTCAAATTTGAGGCTGAAGGAGACTGAGAGCCAATTGCTGCTCTCAGGGTTAAATCTCGTAATCATTCCCCTGGCTTCAAATTTATGCTGGTGCAATGAAGATGAGAATTTAGCTTTCTGTACTGTTGTCAACAGGGGAAAAATAGAGTCCCTCTAAGGCTGTATCCATGGAAACCATCCCGCTGCAATAGCGGGTAAAGCAGCAAATCAATTTCTTCAGTTTTAAAATGAAACACATTATAGTGCATCTGCCATTTGAGGGATTATCTGTGCTGATAACTGGGTGGAAAACCCCTTCTCTAGAAAGTAAGCTGGCAAGAACATTTCTTCCTCCTGACAGAATTCTGATTTTGGGTAGAGTGAGCATTGATGACAAAGTACCATGGAGACAGTACAGCGAGACAGAGCCAAGTCCACAAGCAACAGTGTTTAATGAAGGAGAAAATCGTTTAATTTAGCATTTAACCCAAGTATCTGGGCGCATGGTGACTAACACTCAAATGTATTAGCAGAGGCAGTGACCTGTCACCTCTGTCTCCCTGCTCTTTGCTTGCACAGCACCACATGTGACAAACAGTACATTTGTACCTGGTGGTGCATTTCTCTGAGCAGCAGTGTGTGTGTGGATGTGACTCTGTGTGTGTGTGTGTGGCCGCTGGACTGTCAGATGAGATTTCAGTATCGAGTTCACTGCAACGTGATCTGGGCATCTGACTTTATACAGGTGTATGTTTCAGAGCCAGAGGCACTTCCAATGCAGAAAATGTGCTGGCTGTCTCTGCACTTCATTGTTTTTAAAATTTATCATGTGAGACTTGAGAGATGACCCCTTTGCTGTGCCATGGAGAGAACATGGAAGCACAAGGATTTCTTACACCAGACTTTGAATGTTACCATGCACTTTCCTCCTGTGTGCACAGGGATTCTGCCTTTATTTTTCACCTATTAAGGTATCTCTGGGCATTTTGAAAATTAATATTGTAGTTTATCAGACAATTGCCTATATGCAGATGAGGCTCCACTCTGCTTTTCCTTTTTATCAAATCCAAATATTGCAGTTTGCCTTCCCTATGCCTGACAGATTGAGAAATTATCTGTCTGGAAGAAATGCGACTTTATTTAAGAGAACGGGAATGAAGTTGAACCAGGAAGTAATAAAATTGAACAAGTAGGGAATAAAAAGCATTACAGGAATTGCCTGAACTGCCGGTAGCCCTTCAGTTGGTGAGGATCAGATACACGTTATTCTGTCACCTTGCAATGCCTGGGCTGTATTTCATCTGCTTCTGAATCTCAGTTCCTTGATAACTGCAATCATGCATGCCATACTGTCTCCTTTTATCTACAGCTGCCCTATCTATTATAGCAATCCCTCTTTGATTGACAGTTATGTATTTTTTTCTGACCTGAGGGCAAGCATATTGCAATGCACTCCTTTCAGGCTATCACTGAAACACATCCAAAGTCTTCCACTGGTGCATAATGTGGCAGTTCAGCATTTCAATGAAGTGAGCACATATTATTGGGGGTGCACATGGATTTTGTTGCTTTGCCACATCTACTAGTTAATGGAAGATGCGGTTCAAACCCTATTAAGTTGTAGAAATAGCTCAGTGGTCTGAAATGCTGTTCTTTGCAGAGAGTGTTTTGTTCTACCTGTGTCCAGTTGCTATGATATGCAGTGTTGTCTGTTTGGTTAGTTCCAAAGACTTTAGAGTTGGGAAAGATATCCCAGTGCACTACTTGAGGACTGTTTCCTTGTCGAAGATGACGTTTCCTGCTGAAAAACATCTGGTCAAAAAGCACAGCCTTCTGCAGCTTGTTTTCTATGATCCATGAATGTATAGATCTAAAAATCCTCTCTATATTCAGGAGTTGGACTGCATTCACTAAATCCCAGCCTTTACGTACCGAAGAATGAAAATTATACCTTTCATTGCACTTTCTACTGGTAATTCCCACCTTCTACATAAGCCTTCTATATTCCCACGTAAGGATGCCATTTGCCCCTGGGGTTCCTTTACTGCCAGGGTTCAAATTCCTGGTGAGCTCAGACATAAGACATTTGCAGCTTTCTTTCTAAAATGCCAGGGAAAGGAGAAATGGAGGAGAAGCTGTGACTGGCATTTCTTGTACCATTCTTAATCACAGCCCTGTGTCTGTGTTCAGCAGGGTAGCGAAGCCCCAGAAACCAGGCAGGGCTCAGGGGAACCCTGCACACCAGTTGGAGCAGAGAGGATGGGCTCATCTGTTGCTGTGGGCACTGGGACATGTGGAGATGGACTGGTGAAACCTGGAGATTTTAATGGCTTTTGATACGAGCTTTTCCTGTACCCCGTGACAAATGGCAAGAAAGTTGACCTTCTTCTTCCCACCTCCTTCAGGTCAGATCTGGGAGTCCACGGCAGGAGCAGGGGCTGCATTTGTTCTGAGGAACAAAGCAGGAGCCACTTCTGTATCTGTCGCTTCTCTCACAGCTCCCGAGTGAGGCATTTTAAAGCATTCTTTACGTACAAGCTCTTGGGGTTTGCACAGTCAGGTCCAGCGTAGGAGTGTTTCTCGATGATGTCTGTCTCCATGGATTCAGGGGTGACACCATGTTTGTATATTGCCTCTCTTACACTGCCACCCCCGTGATCAAGGCAAAGATCCTGAGTCATCTTCACAAAGATTTCAAGTTTCCGGCAAACCTGTGGGCCATCTGGGAATGTGGGCAGGAAGAGATACTGCGTAGGAAAACTCGGTCACGTGGTGGTGTTTATATCTGTCACCAGTTCTTTTAACTGTGTTAAAAGCCATTTTAATTATTGTCTAAATTTTTTTCTGTAAGAAATTGTAACAAACATCAAGGCTGCAGTAAAATGATTCCTTGAAATGAGCCCAGTCCTTAAAGTCACTTTATGAATATGCAAATTCCATCTATATTCTGAAGTGCCATTCCTTTTACTGTTAGGTAAACCTCTATCAAAAACCAACAGTTCCCTTTTGGAAAAAACTTGAATTGCCTTCTCTCTCAGACTCCGGTGATGCTGCACCTGTGACCTGTGTCACATCCCTGCCCTGGCAGGTGGTGTCACACAGCAGCTGCCACTTGATACAATGCAAAGAAAGTGCCCCCAGCCCAGGAATGTCTGCTCGTGCTATGTCTTGTTCAGTGTAAAGATACAGTCTGTTACCACTCCTGACAGTCACACAGCTCTGACTCCCTTCTCTGTTTCTACCAGAAAGCAGCTCCTCAAAATTAGAATCCCTTTGCATTCCTAGCCTGCCAAGGCAGGGATATTCTTAGCAGTACCCTGTGGATTAATATTCACAACAATTTAAAAATATCAGGCCATGCATACATTGATCTATTCTTCTAACCTAAAAAAGCTGTGCCTAGCCCTGGTTTCTTACATATACTAGCTGTTAGCACAAACCTTGCCATGCCTGTTACTCAGTTTTTAATTTCAGAAATATCTAAAAGAGGCAAGTAGTTCTAACGATTGTGGTGTGTTCTTGAATGACAAGTTCTGCTAAAAAATCTGGTGACACAAGTAGGTGACTTGCTAGTCAGCAGAAACTTCACAAATGCAGCATTGCTTGCAACAAAAATGGAAAAAACCCCAGAATCACTTCTTTCAGGAGAGGAAGACCTAATTCACTGATGAACAGATTATAACTGAATGATGTGTTAATGAAGGGTATGGAAAACTGACAGTCTGTGGCCCTTAACGTTTTTAGTGGCAACTAAAAAAATGTTGCTCCCTGCAATGGCAGACTTGTTAGTGGGCGAGGTCACTTCCACAATGATATAAATAGCCAAGCGGGTGGCTGAATCTCCACAGACTAGAAAATGTAAGGATGTTCTTGCCTCATGCAGAGAGAAACACTGTCCTTTTTAGTTTGTGCTGCTTAGGAAGCCTTTAGAGATGACCAGAAGCAGACACACTGCTGTGAGCAACAAGAGGCGGAGAAGCGTTATGTTCCCTGTGTCCCTCTGTTCAATAGTGAGCTGTTCCTTAATTCTCTATCCTGGCCTTTGTTGCAACCTCCTCTCCTCTTCCACCACCTCCAAAGGGACCTTCTCAGAGTGCCAGGACTGGGCAGAGTCCAGCCAATCTGTCAGATTTGGCAGGGCACATGATAGAAGATTTACGCAAGTTTTATACTTCTACAAGAATTCCTCTCAGCAGCTGGAGGACAGAGGAGTTCTGTGCTGGCACGGAGTTAGAACAGTGTGTACAGAGGGTACCTGCTCTGGCCCGAAGCCTCACGTGACAGACAAACCTGAACTGGCACAATGGCTGAGTGCTTCATCTGCTGTTTCTTACTCTATGCCAGAAGACAGATTCTGGATCTCCCTGTACTATGGAAGTGTGGTTCAAGGATTTTCAAATCCTTGAGGTGCAGCACAACCCCTATAATCCTTCTCTTGAGAAGCCTGTCAAGCCTTGCATGCGGAGCATGCCTTGGCTTCAGCTCTTCCTGAAGACTGCAAGATCCTTGGCTTTCTTGTGTGACCCCTGCATAGCTTAGAGACCCTGAATACGTCAGACAGCTGCTGTAAGTGTCTCTCAGTGGAAAGGGAACAGATGTTACTCATTTCACATTTAATATCGCACTTCCCGTGAGCACTCACCTTCTCCATGCAGGTGTGTTACTGGTGGCTCCTCGCTGTCACTGCTGCATCCGGGGCTGCTGCCTCTAGGAGAGGGGACAGAATGCTCCCTCCAACCAGGCCCTGGCAGGGGGTCTCTGTGTAAGCCCAGGGCCCTGGGCTGCACTGCTTGACCTCCTGGGGCTGCAGCGAGTCAGCCACAGAGACAGCAGTGCTGCCTGAGAATGTGGCAGGTATGTCTGAGCAGACAGAGCTAAAGAGAGGTAAAAACGTTGGTCTGCTAAGAGATGTTGCAGGGGCAGAGTCACTTGGGCTGAGACCGAAGTCCTTTAAATAGGAGAGTGCTTGATTATCTAGCTGGGCATATTCAAAATTTATCTTGCTTCCAGTGACCTCATTGAGGATTTTTGCTTTACTTTTCTGATCTTCAGAGCAAATTTGCTCCCCATTTTGCTTCAAATACAGACTGCTGGATTGTAAACCTGTCTCATAATTATATTGGTTTGTGCTAGGAATACTGGTGTATTCTGGATTTTGAGCACTGCAGCTGCATTCATTTTGCAACAATAACTTGTTTTTGTACCGAGACATCTTATGAATGATACTGTTCATTTCATTCCCGATGTATTTGTCCTCCAGGTGCTTGTTTTCATAGCTGATTTTTAATGATGCCACCTGTGTTACACAGTGCTCTAAGAGCTGCACTATGTTAGTGCTGCTCTCTGTTGATGTGGGGCTAATGTAGCTCTGGAAATGTCTGAGGGTGAGAGGCTGCGGTGGTTTGTCACAGGAAATAGAGAGAGAGTGATACACTGGCTTGTTTCTGTCCTCCCTCTCAAGGGGATCTAGGAGTGAGGTCGCAGCAGTCTTGTAGGAGTAACATGATTCTACTTCGTGATTATCATCTAATGAAGGATTTTCAGAGCTCTGGGAGCCATTCTCTCTGTTCAACTTTTCTGGCAGCGGGTTTTTAGCTCCAGATGTCTCACATCCCAATGAAATTGCCACCTTCTCATTGTCAGTTGAAGATGTCTGCAGGTTGCCTCTGTTAGCCTGTGATTGTGGTGCATAACTTGATGATCTGGTGGTTTCCACAATCCCAGGCACTGTAGAAAAATCCTTGTGGGGCCTCCCTTCTCTTCCTTGGAAATCCATATTAGATGTGTTTGGGCAGGAGTCCAGGCTGTGATCTCTTTCAGCAATGTTTACTGAAGAGGCCTGGGCTGTGTATTTGCTTTCATCCAAAGACACACATACATTAAATGCATTAGAATCTTCCTTGCTTGGTTTCTCCTGCTGAGCTTCTGTGCTCAGTTCCTGCTCTGGACTGGGACTGGGCAGGACTGATGAATCATTGGACTTTTCTGGCTGTGACTGAGGACTCTGAAGAGAGTCAGGGGAGGAAATGAGTCCTGAGTGTTTTCGCAGCCAGTTTATTATCCCCATAGTCAGTGAGAGCTCAGTATCACAGAGTTTTAGCAAGCATTCTTTGCCTTTCCATGAGCTGTGGAAAAACCCCTGGCTGATAATGTCTAGAGTTGGTTGGGAAGCCATGTTCTCCTCAGCTCCAACGTGAAAGCTGTAAATGGACAGAGGGATCTCGATGGCTTGCTCTGAAATGGTTTCTGATGCACACAAGTCATCATCAAGGACTGGGTTTATTTTGGCTTCATTTGGGTCATAGAAGAGCTCATAAAGGGCATCTCCACTGTAGCTGTCTCTTGGAAATCTACCTGGGACACCAGGGGTCTGAGCTTCCTTCCGTTCATCATCTTGTCCAGGAGAGAATGAGTCATAGTAGCCTTCATCACTTGTGGATGTGGATTCCTGGTTTTCACTTTTTGGTGTTTCTGTTTCTGTGGAGCTGTCTTTGGAATTGTCTCCTTCTTTATCAGGTGACACGTGGGGGCTTGTCACCGATATGGCAGCCTGACTTTTAATCTTTTCTGTGTCAGACCCAGGTATCTTCAGCAGCTTCTTTTCAAACAGAGCACTCTGATGTAGCCGTACTGATTTGTTGATGTTGTCCCAAAACTTTGCAAATTCCACAGTTTCATTCTGGCCAGGAGAGGCCAGCTGCTCCACCCCCCCTTGGAAAGAGCCCATGACGGGGCTGTCTTTGTGCTTGCTTCGCCTCAGCAGAAGGTCTTTGCTGTTCTCCAGCTCCAGGTGAGCAGAGCTCTCATCAGCAAAGATTTCCCCACAGCCGGTGAGGGAGTCAAAGCTCTTCAGGGAGGCAACATCTTCACACAGGGCATTGCAGCAGTCATAGGAGGAGTCAGACTGCAGTTCACTGTCTGAGCAGTCCTGTGACAAACAATCAGCTGCAAATGTTTCTCCAGTTTTGAAGAGATACTTCGCAAGACGCCCAGGCAACTCACTCTTGCAACCTGGAGAGGACAGGTTCTTGTCCTTCTCAACCAGAAATGTGAGGCTGTCTGACTTATTTTTTCTTATATGAAATATATCTCTGAGCCCTTTCTTAGATCTCTTGAGGGAAATCCTTTTCCTAGGAATGGTTTTTGCGACAGCTGGTACAAAAGGCATCTGCGGCACAAAGTTCCTGTAATCAATCATCTGACTGCTGCAGGCAGACTGGCTGGGGCTGACCACACACTCCTTCTTACTGCTGGAGCTGGACATCCCTGAAAAGCTGATGCTGTTGACAAGTCTGCCCTTACCCTTTCCAGAAAACCCCTCCTCACATGCCCTGCTGCTGGGGCTGCAGTGCCCTGCTTTGTCTGCCTCAGCAACGCACTCGTGGGTTTTACTCTTCCTTACAAGTTTGTAGGAGGACCCAGATGATTTTTCCAGGCTGTGGTCACCAGCTCCATTCTTTGTTGCTCTGGTAGAAAATCTGTAGTTCTTGTGGGTGGCCAAACATGCCAGCTGGACTTCAGCCACACTTTGGTTTCCCTCCAGAGCTGCCTTTTTGTCCTTTCCCATCTCATCTTTGTTGGTAGGAGCTGTATGCACTGGTGGCACTTTCTCATGTTGCACACTGGATTTTATGAAGGTCTTTCCTCTCTTGAGCTCCATGCTGCTTCCTCACATCTGTTTCTGGAAGAAAACAGCAGAACACAACTACTGTGAGGCTGGTGGCTAGCACTTGTAAATTTGGAAAGCAACTGGAGAACAAAGGGAGGGATATGAAGCATTATGGAGTTGGGTTTGTCTGTCACTGGACATTTCCATCACTGAGTCCTGGTACTGCATGACAAACAGATTGAGTGAAGCTGAAGGTGTGTTGGCTGGAAGATCCAACAAGGAGAAGACAGTGCACATTATGGACTGGTAGCTGAGGGTCAGAGAACAGTTTGTATGTTAGAAATAAGGGGGATTGGACTGAGGATTATGACTTCAGTATGGCTTTTAACAAGATAGAGGTCCTGTTCTGAAAGTAGAAGAGGCATCAATGAAAAACAACTCCTGAGAAACTTTACCATGCAAGTGCGTGCATAAGGGAGGCAGCAGCTCATAAATCTGTGTGTTTGAGAAGGACAGAGAGCTCAATGTGGGAAATCTCCTCAGAAAATGGATCAAACATTTGACACATGATGCTCATTTTATAATAAAATAATCCTTACCTGTGAATAGAAAATCCATAAACCTTGGGACTACTTTGGAAAGGAGCTGAAACTGAATTACTGGGTTTGCTTCACTTCCTCCTGAACATAATGGAACATTTTCTGCAGTAATACTTTTATTGTCAAAAGTCAAAAATGCCATATTGAAAAATCACTGTTAATTATGACGGAAGAGTCATCTCCAATTCACAAAGAACAGTGTAGCACACAGAGGCATTGGCACATTGAATCTGCACTGTGCATTGATTAGCTACTTCTAAAAATACTCTAGTACCTGTATCAATGGCAGTTTCAGGCTCTGCCTATATGGTTTAGTATTGAACCTGTTTTATGTTTTCATTAATCTATTTAGTCATTAATTATTTTAGCCATGTTGCTTTCAGCTTTCCAGCAGTTATTTCATAAACACGCCTGATCCTTTTCTGCCTTGTATCAACTTGAATATTGAGTAAGTCAGTGGAGTTACATAAAGGTAGGTCAGGGAAGAAGCAAACACTTCCTAAAAGCTGTTAGAAAAAACAGATCTTTACTGAATGGGAAGCAGGACAGTAACTCCAAGCCCTGTTCTTGAAAGAACGTGCTTGGATCTTTCCTTAGTGAAATCTCAGTTAATGATTTATCTTGTTTTGAATTGTTTAGACATAACTAAACAGTTGGAGACACTGAATGGGAGATTTTAAATTCAGCACCAAGCCAAGCCTTTGTACTCCTAAAGTAGAACTTAAAGCACTCTTCAGTCTACCTGGAACTACAGCAGCTGTCTGTAGCCTCCAGAGGCTTTCCAGTTGCCAGGGCTTGCTCGGAATGTCCACACTCTGACCAGCACCTCATAAGATGCAGATCTGAGAGCTGTCACCCACAGCTCTGCTCCAGCTGGCAGATCAGTGACAGCCCATTGCTCACAGAAGCTGCAAACTAGCAGGTGATTAGCAATATTTACAACTAAATGTAGGTCAACAATAAAAGGCAGAAAACTTAAGACTAGGGTGTGACTATTTGACATGCTCTGGAAAACATGGTGGGTGGTGATAGATGGGTGTCTGTCAGTATGATTGAGATGTTGGCACATTTATTTGCGCTTGGGGCTGCGTGTGAATGTTGCAGAGCATTCTTAATGGAAGCCAGTAAACATTTTACTACACTGTCAGGTATTTGGAGTTCACTGATGCTGCGGGAAACTTGTTTTGCATATTTAGAAATAGGTCACTGGGACAGGATTACACTCCTTCTGAAAAGCAAGGTGTGATCGACAAGAGATTCAGTGCGTAGAACTCCGGCAGAGTCGTGAAAACAATCAGAAACGGCTGATGCAAGACCAGTTATTAATATCCCAAAAATGAAGCGCCTGACATCTCAGTCCTTTGCAAGTGTAGAAGTAGGTACTGTGTCCCTGTGGGAAGCTCCTGGTGCTGCTGAGAAGCTCCTTAGAGGTCTGTGACATGGCAAATGCCAGCCTTATAACAATGTTATGTAGAACTCCTTGAAGTCCTGCAGCTGTTTCTGCCCATTCTGAGTATTAAGCAAGGGTCACTTTTGTAGGATATTGCATACTTAGGAACTTTATCTGTAGATGCATTAAAAAGGCTTTTAGAGGTGGATTTATTTATTGTCAACTATGAAATGTAGTAAAGCTAAGAATTCAGGATATTATTAGATAATCTTTGTAATAAAGTAATGTTTGATCTGAATTGTATCTCCCTTATAAGAAACACGGTGGATGACCAGTTTGATAATTGGGTCTAGAAACTTTAAGGCTTGTTCTTTTTTTTTTTTTTAATAGATTAGATGAATAGTTTTAACATGAAAGCCCAAATGGCCTGAATAACATCTATACTGAGAATATATGTAGTATAATAATGTAAGGTACACTGATGGTAGCCTGTGCTACCTTTTCAGGTTCCTCTGATGGGGGAAAAAAGTGTTAGATGTCATTTAGATTTTGTGGGATTTTTGTTTGGTTTGGGCTTTCTAATATCTACTATATATATAGCCACCAACTTTGTGTTCTGATTATTTCATGTCTCTATTTGATCCCATATATTCTTTTCCCTAATATTCCCACAGGATTCATGCCAGACTTAGTATCTAGTTCATTGTGTCATCTTGCTTATTCTGTTTTAAGACTGTCTCATCTTTGGGAATCTTCCACATTAAAAATGTTATTATGAATGAACACCAAGAAAAGGAAGACCCCCTCAGTCAATTCTTTGAGGGCTCTTCAGGACAGACTACCAGGGTCTGTAGAATTTTAAAAACCTTTGTAACTTCCCATACGATGAGTTCCTCTTCATCCTCACATGACATAAATTATCAATGAGCTTCTTCCCAAATACAGAACAAATGTTTATGTGATGATGTTCTCTTTCTATATCTTACATATAAATATAGATATATTTTTTAGCCCTTTTGGTTGTAATGGACTACACCATGATATCTATTTTTTGTCTTTGCAGGGACACAAGTTATATCTCTAACCCCAGAAGCTGTACCAGTGAAGTCACAAACAGATTAAAGTGCTGTAAGGGAAAGTTACCCTCCAGTGCTTATGTAAAGCTAATCAAAATTCTATGAAAAATTATTCTAGGCATTTAAAAAGTGGTACATTTTCTCTGGGATTTCTTGACCCTTGCACTCAGCTACACTATTGCCTGTCTGCTCCTTTTTAATTATTCTCCTCTTGGACTTAACTTGCAGTATATCTATTCTTCCACGGGGATAAAAGACATATGAGGGACTGATTTCCACCTTTGTAAAGGAAATACAGTTTGCAATTAAAATCACTATGAAAAACAGAAACCTGTGGAAACCAGCAGTCAGTCTACTGAGACTACGTTATCCTGTTTTGAACAGACTCTGGATGTTTTCTTTGGTGATGAAACTTGACCTCTTTTTTAGTATCTGTGAAATTACTTGTCCAAAATACATGGGTTTAAATAGAGGACATCCTTGAATCTTGTACTGGGCTGCAGTTGTCATTTACAACAATGTTAGGTGCAGCAGCATTGAGACTTCCCATCCACAGTAAACAGTACTTTTATCTGGCTTGATCATACCAGCTTCTCACTTTTAGGATTTCACAGGTGTCTAAGCAGGCAATTAGGTCTGGATTTTGGGTTTATACTATAATGGAAATAAGATTTTATTTTAAATTTGGATAATATTGCTCATAAAACGCAGAGATACTTCATGTTCAAACATACACCATCTGTGACAGCCTTTTCATAAACTCTGAAGGCTTTACTGTATCTGTGATTCATCTAAAAGTAAATGAAAGTTTTAGAATGGAAAGATGAACACATTCCTGTGGGCTGAGGAAACTTGGTTTTAGGACAGTCAAAGCAATTGCTTATGGTTCTGGGTTATGAGGACCTGAACAAGACTGAATTAGGTAACTGTTCTGGTTAATAAGAGCCATATTCAGATGGCCTAAATTCTACCTAAGTCCAGGTCAACAGGCAAGGGCCAAAGAGGAGTGCAGTGGAACCAGATGTTCCTTAGGAAAATGGGTGGAAGGAGGATTCAAACTGTCCAAATATTGCCTCTGTCATGTGGGTCAAAGAGAGCGGTCCCACTTGCCTCTGTCCATGGTCCCCACAGCTTTCTGCCAGACTCAGCTGTTTACAAGTTTCCTTCTGTGCTGGAATGGGGGAAACCTTGCTTTGGGTTTTGAGCTGGTGTCAAAATTGATATCTTATATCTTACTAGCTGGAAAGTTTTGTTTAGGTTATCTTCTAAGGAAAGCTAGAATATCAGTCCTCTTACATGGAACACTAGGAAGATCATCCAACTGGGAAAGCAGAAGTATCTGCTTCAGTGTGATTGCATGGATAGAAATAATAGTGTTTCAAAGAGTAAATTTAGATGAACTGGCTTCAGCAGGTTTGGATCAAGAATAATTTTGCTTAAGCAGCAAAAAATATAATTAAAGTTCATTTATTCCAAAATCTTATCAGGTGTCTAGCTTGGACACTCTTGTTTGTTTGATGTGCAATTTATATATAACTGTCTCTCTTGGAGATAGAAATAAGTAAAATTCAGAATACAGTGTTTTTGCAGGGGAGATAGGAGTGTTCTTTCTTACATTTAGATCATGCTTACAATTGACAGGTGGTGGAGTTGGTGCCTTGCTGTCTCTTGTGAAGCAGAATTCTGCATCACTTGGCATCTGAATTTCACCTCCCTCCAAGCATATTGCTTTTATTAAATGAAAGAGTTGATAAACTTCGAATACTCTTCTAGCTTTTCAATTTAAAAAGAAGGAAAACCTCTCTTTGGATTGTTTTTATGTTTCAGGATGCAAGTTTGGAGTGAGTCCAAAATCCCTTTTCCACAAGTGGCTTCATATCAATCAGACTTAAGATGCTGAGTATCAGAGGTACCTTTGAAAATGTTACCCTGCTTTCCCCTCAGAAACAGTAGCATAATTAAATTTCCTGAAAACATTTATCTGATTTGGGCATTTGGACATGAATTATGCTTAAAATGGATGCATTTTAAGATGAAAAGTTTTTTTAAAATATTTCCTGAGAAATTGTGTGATGGGAAAGGCAAAAAGAATGGAGTGCTCGGGAAGGCTCTCCCTTCCTATGCCCAGTTAACATCGGGAGGATTTTTGCTGTGCACCAGTTGGAAGTCCTAAAATGCAAAACCAATCAAGCTTGAGGTGGTGAAAGCCACAGCTACTTTCAAAGTCAGTGGACAATACTAATTTTTAATGCTTAGGATCTAATCAGCAATGCATAAAGAACAGCTGGTGCTCCCAGTAAAGGAGGGGGGGATATTTTTTGAATAAGACTGTTTATTTGCAGTCAAAAACATTAACTCTCTATCTCAGAAGATAAAAGTTAATAGTGGAAATACTTGCTAATGATAATGAACATATATTCCATTCTGTTAATTTGATTTTTAATTGCAAAGCAGAAAAATGCTTTCTTGCTCGAGGGTAGTGATACCCTCCCTGCAGTTATTGTAACGCTGTTTTCTAGTAAGCAAATAAATGTAACTGTTCTTCTGGTAAAAACCAAAGAGGATTTTAAAGCAGGGCTCATCTTCTCCCTTAAACTGATTACTCTGCCACTATCTCATCTCCATTATAAAGCAGAAAAGAAGAGGGTGGGAAGGATGGAGGATGTAATCAGGGACAGTCATCATTCAGGAAACAGCAGAATGTTTATTTTTAAAGGCGGCTGTGTGACACACAAACCTGCATTGAGATCATGCCTCTCCTCAGGAGGAGTACTCTTGTCATCCTTAGTGCCTGGATCTTATCATTCCCCTTAACCATTTGTCTCTCTTGGCTAACCCAGGATGCCTAATTCCTTGCATATACATTTAGGTCAGGCAATGGCTTTCTCGTGAAGAACCAGCAAAAAGCACATTGGTGGGTTTTTTTCTTCAGCCTTAGTTCCAATGAGCACACAAAGTAAAATCTTACACTCCCCCAGCAGAATACTAGAAAGATGTGTCGTTAAATGCATAATCTTATTAGCAATGTGCTATAGGGGAGTCTGAACCTTCCTTTAAGCCCTGACAACTGTTTCATGAAGCTCAGGATTTTTCATAGTAAAATTAACCACGTTTCTACTCCCAGCACACTGTCCTGCTGTGTGCTGACAGGAGGGATCCCTGGGGGCACAGCAGCACCCACTGCTCCCCCCAGTCCTGCCCATGTGGGGCACCCAACTGCTCCCCCCAGCCCCATGGGGTGTACAGCGTGGCAGAAGGAGGCTGAGACCATGACAAAAGGAGGCTCCTTCTCTGACAAAACCTCTGCACCCCTCATTCAGTTTTCTTCTCTACCTGAGGGTGAAAGAAACGTAACTGCTTGAATTATGCCATGAAAAAGGGCAGCATCAACTCCTGCCCAGGGAGCTGTCGAATCATCACTGTATTGCTGGGAGAAGGCAGCAGAGCAGAAATTTCCACTGGGTACCTGAGAAGGAAACAGGGCATTTGTTCTTGCCCTGGCCAGCAGCCTGTTGGTACCAGACAGCAAAGTGTTAATGCTGACAGCTTTGGCTGTCCTCTGTAATTTTTTGCTTTAAAAGGACATAGGATGCGCATTCATATAAACACAGGCACACACTTGTCAAATGTATGGAAAAAGAAGTAAAAAACAATGCTTCAAAAACAAGCAGTCATCCCAAAATCACAGTCTCTCAGAGTGGCTGTGAGTGTCAGAGCAAAGAAAATGCCATTGCACCAGAGCTAACAATAAGAGAGATCATGAAATTCCTACTCACCATGTTTTATCACTGAGCAGAAATCCTCTGTCTCCTTGCTTCTGAGGCTGGTCTTTATCCAGAGGCTCCTGTGATGCTTTTCAGACTCTGAGGGGCTGGACCACTGCTGCTCTCCAGTGTTACTCTCCACCCCCTATCTTTTCCTCCTCCTTCTTCCTTCATCCCCACCCCCTCATTCCTCCTGCTTGTAGCTTTTTTGTACCTTATATAGATTCTAAGCTTCCACATGTAGCTTGATATAGGAAAGATGCTTATTTCAGCCGTCTGCTGGAATAAGGGAAATGCCTCCACTGCTTTAGGAATAAAAGCCCAGAAGGTAAGCTCGGGAATCCTGAGCCAGCATTTTGGTTCCCCTCTGTATGACTGCTTATTAAACAGGGAGGAACACATCCAAATTAATTTCATTTCTCACGTGCTGTTTTGTTTCTGACTAGGATTCAGGAAAAGTGAACCTAATGTGTCTTAGTTTAGTGAGAAGCTTCACTTGCAGTGTGTGCAGATTATTGGACTGTGCCACCCTTTGCAGGATTTGTGTTAATGCTGAAGTTGGAGAGAATTTCGTGTGGGAGCAAAGTGGTGTAAAGGGAAAGAGTGAATATTTCTGCTGCCCAAAGCTGGAGTGCCTGGTGTGAGCCTCACACTGCCTACCACAAACACCATTTATCAAATTCTCCTTAAGGTCAGTCCAGCTTCTGCTTCAGTGTGCAGTGAAGGGAACATCTGATATTACAGTCTGATATTACATCATTCTTTGTTATATCTTTGTATATATATCTCTTCTGTCCCCACATCGCAGCAGAAAGGGTCAAAAGCCTTAACCTGCTACCTGTTCTCATCTTCCTTTTCACCGTGTGCTTGAACTGAACCTTGGAAACGGGGGAGGGAAGGAGCTTGAACTTTTGTGCTGTCTAAGCTTCTGAAGCTGAAAATCAGTCTGTTAACTTAAAAGCAGGCAGAACAGAGTGCTCCTGCTCTGAGTGTCAGCCAGTAAGCCACTCAGGTGCCCCTGATGGTAGAAACTGAAAAATTGCATATTGGAAAAACACTCCTGGGTTCAGTCCAACCTGCAACAAGTAGAAAGCCCATGTGTGACTTCACCAAAAGACTGGTGGGAGGAAAGAACAAGCTGTGATTGAATCCTACTAGCTCTGGCAAGTAGATTAAAAACAATCATGAGAGAAAATACATTAATTAGAAATAGATCTGATGTTTTTTATTCTGCATGAGATATTTGTATTAATATAGGAGAAAGCCTTTCTTCATGATGGGTATGTGAAGCCACCAAGTTTTCAGGTAGTACATCCTTGCTCTGCAGTGATGGCGCTTTTGAGAGCCCCCACTTTGTGCACTCTGTTTTGGAATGAGGGAACCTATAAAACATTGCAGTCCTTCTTTGTTCAAAGTAAAATCAAGGCTTGTTAGAAATGGTGATAAACGTGAGAGTCACTGTTGTCACCTGTGCCCCAGGTGGCCAAGAAAGCCAATGGCACCTGGCCTGTATCAGCAGTAGTGTGGCCAGCAGGACCAGGGCAGTGACTGTCCCCTTGTACTCAGCGCTGGTGAGGCCACACCTCGAGTGCTGGGTTCAGTTTTGGGTCCCTCACTGCAGGAAAGACATTGAGGTACTGGAGCAGGTCCAGAGAAGGACAGCTGAGATGGTGAAGGGTCTGGAGCACAAGTCTGATGAAGAGCGGCTGAGGGAGCTGGGAGTGTTTTGTCTGGAGAAAAGGAAGCTCAGGGGAGACCTTATCACTCTCCAGCTATCTGACAGAAGACTGGAGTGGAGTGGGGGATCGGGCTGTTCTCCCAGGTAACAAGTGACAGTGTTGGAAATGGCCTCAAGTTGTGCCAGGGGAGGTTTAAATTAGATATTACAAAAAATTTCTTCACCAAATAACATTCTTCATCAAAAGCAGCTTCTGTGATGAGAGAACTTGAGATTTTAGGATGTTTACTTCAGGATGCCCATATGGACAGGCAATTCCATCTTTAGAGCCTGTTATTTTGCTTTATCAGGGAAGTGGCCTAAATCCATTGGCCATCCATAGCTATAGATATCCATAGTTATCCATGGCCATAGCAATCCATAGCCATAGCCTGCATTGACCTAAATACCAGTCTCGTTGCATGCAATGGCAAATGCACAGCATGTTGAACAGCAGCTGACCCATGGTAGCCTTTATGCATTACAATACAGCGTGTTTTTCCTAAACAGTTCTCAACTTGTCATTCTCTGAACCATCTTTCTGTGCTATCACTTTGTTTCAGGCTATTTCACTGTGGCTGATGATCAGCTTGGCTCAAAATGTTGGCCATTGGAGAACCTAATCATCCTCTCTGATTAATTCTGATTAATTCAGTCTGTCCAGAATTGTTTTGGGCATCAGTGGGCATAAAAGGGAAGGGAAATCAAACCCTGCAAATGAGGGGCACATGGCACAGCTGCCATCTGTTTAGCAGATGCACACAGCCCTTGGCATGGGGAGTAGGAAGAGGGCCCTTGAGGGAAGCAGGACTAAGGAATGTACAGTCCCGGGAGAGGGAAGAGTAGGACAGCAGAGATCTTTGGTATGAGGAGGACTGGGGAAAGGAGGAGGAAAATCCACATAGAGGGCAGTGTGGAAACACAAGGAAGGAGGGTTTAGATGCAGAAGCCCAGCCTCCCAGACCCTGGAAGCCATGGCAGAAAATGTTTGCCAGAAAATGCAGTGGTGCAACAAACAACTATTAGCGTGAGCAACTCACAAAAAAACCCAAGCTGTTCTATTTTTTAATTTTCTGCCATGGAAGAATGTAGCAGATTCTTTAACCCTGAGACTCAGAAGAAAGAGCTGAGATAGCTCTATTTTGTTTCCAAGGAAGTGCTTACAGAATGAATTTGACCCAGGCTGTTTCCTGCCAATGAACTAATGAAGAGTCTAACATCCCTAGTCCAGTTTAGCTTTCTGCTAACATCAGGTTAAACTTAATTATTCATGGATTCTTATCACTATTTCTTGGGTTTGCATGTCGAAGAGAATTGGTAATGGATATGGAGCTTTTTCTCCAGACTGCTTCCGAAAGCCTGCCTTGGGTTGAAGGGACTGATCTTTGCGACTTATCTGACAGTTTCCCAGGGCTTTCATTAAGTTAATTGCTACTCTCTTCTCAGTTGCTTGGTGAGCTAGTTTATGCTGCAAATTTTAGGATTGTGAGTTGCTGTTAATAACATCAGTACTTAGGATGGAAATAGGAGGATTTTTATCCACAGATTTCTGCAAGTGTATTTCCCTCACTGTCTCCCACTTGTTTGCCTGTGGGGCGTTGATGTTAAGGTTTGCTGCCAGGGAGATGAGGTGGAGCAGGTAGGGTCACAAAAGTAAAATATGGAATTAAAAAGCTTGGCTGTCCTGCCTTCCAGCCACGCCTCCCCACCCCAATAGTGATGCCCTCAGGGACAGAGAGGAGCACGGAGTGCCTCGGGAATGGGACTGATCACATTTTCAGTATTGCTGTTCCAGGGACTATGGATGACTGATTATGAACTGCTCGTTGCCTCAAAGAATTAAAAGGGCTTTTGAGAAAAAAAATTAAGTGGTGAGTGCATTTTTTCAGCTGCCTGTGTTGGAGTAGTGGCTGCCCTTTAACTTTCTGTTTTAAACAAAAAGCTCTTGGGTAATAAATACCTGTCTAAAAATCAATGTGGAAAAATGTACTGCATTAAATGCTACGAAGAACTACATCAGAAGAACTGTTTCATGAAATTATGAAGAACTCCCAGGCTCTGGAAACCAGACAACACCTGGGAAGGACACAAAACCTCAGGGACCTGACTACAGAAATGTTTCAGTACAGGTCACGTTTTCAGAAGTTTTTCCATTCCAGATATGCCTGTGTGTCATAGACATCTGTCCAGATGAGGCAAGAATACCTCTGCTGCTGCCATCTCTAAGGCAAAATAATTATTCAGCGTAAAGCGTGGGGATGACAAAATGTGCTGTTCCACAGGCGTCCCATTGCAACCTATAAGCAAAGTTTCCTCAGCTTCTGCTGAGGAAGTTGCTGTTGTGATGACTTGAGGGAAGACTATGGGAAATTTTTTATGGCTGTTTTGTGTGACTTGATTTCCCTGCTTAATTTTATGTTGCTCCCTGCCTGAATACATACAGTTAAGTGCTCTGAAGGCTTTGTTAAAGGCTCAGTGAGGAAACTGGGATATATAGGTGTAAGTAGCCATAGATACACAACTTCACATAATAGATACAGGCCATCAGTGAGGCAGAAACTGTTTCAGTGGCTCTCATGGCACAGCTGGGATCAAAGGAGGACTAAAACCAAAAAGACTTAGATAGAAGCTAAGTGAGTAGTCAGTTGAGTTGGTGAGGGTGACACATTAGCACAGCAGGCTCAGGTCTAAACACAGGGACAGGGGTATCTCGAGCTGTGAGCAGGACAGGCTGGTGCTGCCACTGCTGCCTGTCACTGCTTGTGTGCTTTTATTTCATATCTCAGTGGCAAACACAAATGATGTGTTGCACAGAAACTGGCTTGCTCACAGTGCAGAAGATATACCTGTCACAGGATCTTGCAAAGGAGCCCTCATGGGTGGTAGGGGGGCCACAGCCAAATCATAAATCCTGTTCTGAGGGAAGAAACATCTTGGTTGAGGGTAGTTGGTCAGTCCTCGAGGAAAAAGAGCACTACAGCCAGTTTGTAACTGCAACAAGTAGCACCTTGCTGTACATAAAATCCCACTGGTCTCCCAGTCAGTATCTAAACACAGGCAAACAAAAGGACATTTGGAAGACAGGTGAGAAATGAAGCCTTTGAAACCACCAGCAGTGCAGCTGGTAACAATGTGGTTAAAAATGCTTCTGCCTGATTTACTCATTGGAACATGCATTTTGGAAATAAATCTGTGTGTTTGATTTGTGTTGTTAGTGGCAATGTCACAGCCAGATTTCATTATAGGTGGCAAGTCGTAAATCTCAGAGAAGACTAAAATACACAGTTCTAAATGCAATTTATTAGCAGACCTAGAGATTGTATTTGGCCGTGTTTGTTGCTCTTGTTATCCTGCCTCCCACATGCTCAGGTGGCAGTGGCCAACTCCAGAAGCCTCATGTCTGCTGCTGCCTGAGCTGCCATCACAGC